AAGAATTGAAAACGTTATCACGATTTTACCCTTCCGCCAAAGGCGTTTGCCTATGCGCAGGCCGCCTACGCGCAGGCGTCCGCGTCCTACACGCAGGCCGCCTACTCGCAGGCCGCCTACGCGTAGGCCGCCTACGTTCAACCCGCCGAAGACCCTCCATATCAGAAACTTCCGCCGCTCTTAACTCGGTGATGCCTCATCCGTTTCAAGAGTTCTTGGTCTTGTTGGAACGAGCGTCGCGAGCTCTTTCCAACAAGACTCTAATTGAGTCAAGGCGTCACACATTGAAAACGTTACGAGAGTTTCACTCCTTCGCCAAAGGCCTTTTCCCGAAGGTACTTCCCCGAAGGCACTTCGCCGAAGACCTTGCCCCGAAGGCCTCCTTCCGCACCTCTTGCCCCCTAACCATCACACCAACTCCCAATCTTGCAGAAACTTTCAGAAAACCCCAAGCATAATTTTGCAAGAGCTTAAATCCAAACTTTTAACTCTCATAAGGGTAAAAAGACATGTGAGCACAGTTTTGTGCTCACAAGTCTGATCTATGGGACTGCAAGGCGAGTAAGGTCGTTTTTTCACGCCAGTATACAACAAATAGTGAATTCTTCTTTGGCTGAAAAAGTAGATTGAACGAAGTAGCAACTTCCGGAGAATCTCTCACCACATCTAGTTCTTGTTGACTTTCTTCACTCCAGCCCGCCTCCCACTCTCCATCACTCATCTTATCGCCCAATTCTACCCTCTTGGTTTCTTATATTGAAGGTGCGTTCCTTCGTTATTAACGGGCTGGTTTCGAGATGATGAGTGCTTGACTTTGATGTACCTACCGTCCACGGGGCTCCTCCTGGTGGCAGGCTTCCAGAGTTTCGGAATCGGTCATAGTCAAAGCCAGTTACTTTAATAATTGGTCTCGTCCAGAAGCGGATGCCGAGGAGGAAGAGGATAACGACTGTCAGAGTTTGACTTCTTCTCAATCTTCTGAGTGGAAATGTAGGAAATTCTAATTTACTGTATTTGCCACGTCTGTCTGTTCCTGTACCGATTATGGGATGAAACTCTGGCAGTACTGCACTCCTTCTGGAAGAATCTCGACCATTGCGAAAACGAGATGATTAAACTAAGAAGGAGGGCTAAGTCGTTTAGCAAATTTGAGGGGAAATTCCCACCAAGCCTCATCAACATCAAAGCAAACAAGTAACACTATATTGTGCGATAGTCGTCATAGAACTATATTGTAAAATATTTTACCTGATGTAACTAAACAAATCCAAATTGTATATTTCAATAGGAGGCAAAAAATTGAATAAAGTCTGCATACCAATAAGAATAATATAATGTGTTGAGTTTTCCACTCGCTGCTAAAGATATGAAAACTTTCAGTATAGGTTAGCAAAATTTTGTTCAACATGTTCTTAAAGAATATTACCTCTGATGAACATTCATCAAAATTTACGTGCATGATTTTACATATTTTGAAGTATATGGGGAAAAAGCAGTTGATATCCTTACAATGTATTCGTCTTGGATTCTTTTTGTTACACTAACTCCCCACCGGGATTAGAGATGAACCTGTGTTCCTCGGCCCGGACTAGAGATAAGAAAATAATTCTCGAACAGGACGACTCCGAGCGCAAATAAAATCTAATTTCTTCCCTATTGATTTCCAAATCAATAGGTTCAGATCATCACAATACTCGAACCAAAAGTTGTCAAACATAATAAAAGTGTAAACTTATCACTGGGTAGAAAATAAAATTAGATTGATGAGCAATATGACAAGACGAAATCTCAAATGCCACATCAGGATTTACAAGTAGAGTAAGTTTGTTTATTTATGTGCAATAGCAGCGGATCTCTGAAATACTTAACACGAACAAGAATTTTTGGATCCATTTGAATATCCTATAATTCATGAATCGGTTGTAGATTCCTTGAAAATTTCAGTTCCTTAAAAGTGTTCAAAAAGAGTTCTTTACATTAAGACGTTCATTCTCAAGATCACAAGATAGATTCTTGTAATCAAATAATTAAATATACTCTCTATGTTCACACAGTACAAATAATCCTTAGGAATATATATACACAACATAAGAAGCCCAGAACATTATATAAATATAGACTTTTACAGTATTAGCAAATAAAGAGCTGAGAGAGAAAGTCGATAAATAACTCTGATCTGACAACACTGCCGCAAGCCGAAAAAATTAGACGAAGATATCTGATTTGTTAAGGGATGTCAGAATTTTACTGCAACAAGTTTCGGCTAATACTTTCAAAAATCCTTGAAAGTTTCCACGGCAAATTTTTTACATGACAGATACTCTCGTCACACATTGGACCCACAATTGGCTGTGAACACTCATTTGCAATTAATTGGACACAACTGGCTGTGGCCAATATATTGCAAGTGAATTGCTGAGTTTTCCATTTGAGATTTTGGCATATATATTGAACATTTATTCAGGTTTGAATCACTTTGTTGTATAATTCTCAAAACAAGATTAGGCATCTTATGTTATAATGGCTTTATTGTGCACTTTGTCGCAAGAATATGGAAACAGTTCTCGGTGACTCATGCACCTGCAGGGTACAAGTAAACGATCCTGTATCCAGTAATCCTTGCCGACCAAGCTCAGTTTGTAGTTACTCTGAAGTGCATCACAGAGTCTCTAAGTTTTAACAACTTCTCTTATTGAATTAAATATCTGCAATATTTTCATGTATGAATTAAAAATGATCCAATGTAGCAACGAGCGCCGAACTTCAGTCTACCATGTGGTCTTGGTTTTGAGGCTGAAGAGATCTATACATACGGCTTTAGTGTTTCATGGCGACAATTGTTCCAAGCTTCTCTTTTTAACCTAAAGCTACGAATTTAACCATTATATACTATGACATATTGTCACATCTACATATGTGACTCTTGTCTAATGTTATGGGAACATGAAACGAGGGCTAGAGACTCCTATCATGTGATGGCAGTGGGAAATCGATAGCAGAAAGCTTTTCGTGCTTACTTTTATCTTTCTTTTAGTTGTATGAGCTATTTCAGCTAATTTCGCTTTTTTTCTTCATATTTTTTATTACAGATTGCACAAGAGTTTTCTGTCATAATCAACAGAAATATCAAATTCAGTTCTCTTCTTTCTTAAACGAGTTTGTTTCATCAGTAACCCTGGTTGGACTATCCATATGCAAATGACTTAATTCCACCAAGATTATTCTATTATTCTAAGGATTTTGTAATATTAACATTTTCTATAAATTTAAATATTTTTTGTAGAAGAAAAAATTAGCTTCATTTAATATTTAAATATAAATATGAATAAAATGTAGCACATATAGACATAAATTGTAATAAAATTCTTTAATTTTCATCGAATAAATATAAATATTTGTATTGTTACACAAATTATCTAATCATGTATTATCCAATGTGAAATTTTGTATTTTTCTATCTTAAAAATGTCAACCCTTTATTTGATTTTTTTAAAAACAAATTCCATTTTTATTATAAGTAAATCAGTTTTAAATTTAATGACGAATAAAAAAGTTTATGTACAACAATGCGGATATATTATTGAATTCGAAGATAGAAAATTTATATTTTTTGAGAGTGGAATATGTGCATATATTAAAAAAATATATAATTGAAAAAAAATATCCCATTAAAGATAACATTTATATTTACATATTCACTCAAATGGATCATATGTCTCTTGAACTTTATTTAATGTTTAAAACCATACAATATTTTTATCAAAAGATAAGCTCTACATCAGCACATCAATGGTTAAAATTATTTAATGAAATTAACATTTATTTTTTTTTAAGTGTAAGGAAATAGTTTAGATCCTAATTAATTCTAATTGCTTTTGTATGTTATTTGTCGCAATTTAAGTGACTTAACTTAAGTATTTTGTGATATATTCATATTTTGAGAAATGTACATTGAGATCATTTGTGAGTATCTTCTGTCATGACCATGCGCGTAGGTTTAGGGTTGGACTTGTCCAACTAGTCCAAACCACTATCACGACACTTCATTTAAGTGGATGAAGTTTTTTTTGGTCAACTGTATAATTTGTGTTTCTCGTTTGAGTTTATTCTATGTATTTTAAATCTTACTGACAATTGATATTTTCAATAACAATTTCAACCATGTTAAGTTAAACTATCAAGTATTATGTGGATGAAATCTTTAGATGACAAAATTTATGATTTTGAGTCGAGAAATCTATTTGTGGCATGAACATAAACTTACCTAGATTATCTACTTGTTTTTATGTTGTTTGTCTTTTCCATGTAATTTTCTTCTCACAAAATTTACATCCTATATCATGCCATCAGTTACTGATCTTTTCCTAAACAATATTTGGTAATGAATAACTTTGTTTTGAACTTACGTGTAACAAACCTAATTTAGTATTAATCTGTAGTTTTGAACTGACCTAAACATTGTATCGAATCATAATGTGCACAAATGAATAAAGTAAAAAGTTACACTCAATTCTGATAGAATGTAAATCAGATCCAATTTATTTTTTTTATCATTTTTCAATAATACAACTTGCCAAGACTTTTACAAATTATTTTTTTATGATTTTAATAAAAAAGGGATAGAAAATTTAGATGAAATTAGGACAATTAGCGAACCTGGGTACTCGAAATAATCTAAGCTATATTTTTCCCTAATTGTCCGGCTGTAACAATAGTTAGATGTAGATCATTTGTAGAAAAAATTATATTCAAATCTATGTACTCACCATATCCAAACTTTTTTTTATAAAAATTCTCTTATATTATTCACAAATGGATTCAGCATATTTACCTTTAGATCGATTAAATTACTCAATCAACAAATCAATATAACAGATATATCTTTACTCTTCTGCATATCGAACACGATTAAGTATACGGACTAACATAGATCTTGAAGCCAAATTATCGCAACTCACCCTATAGAGCTGACACAACTATTTGCTCTTATTAACCTGTAGCCGTGATTGTCATACAAACATCAAAATGATAAATCATGTATTTTACTCAGTCCTTGAAAAGAGAGAGAGTGAGAGCCTCTGGAGCGACGACACTCAGATCGAAAGGCAGACTACGTACTTCTGTCGTAGCATCGTCGCGGCTCGAAAGCAAGCGACATTCGCCATGCTCGAGATTTGGAGTCTGGTCCGCCATCGAGCCACGACCTCGCCTCGCACCGGTCGTCTGCTGAAGTTCAGGCTCACTTCGCCCTCTTTGCAGTTGACTCACTCGTTCGCTGTTTCGAATTGAGGTCACAAGTTTGTAGAATATGATTGATGCCTGTTGCTAGTTGACGACTGCTAGTTGACGACTAACGTAGGCTGCCGTCGGTTTTAATCGTGATGGATCTGATGCAGTCCCAGCACACAGTGAGGCTTTCGGGTCTTAGAGCCTCCGATGGGCGGAAGGCAACTATTGTGTCTGAAATCTGCTGGGAACAGTTCAAATCTGTGCAGGATTGAAGCGGTGGCCACAAGAGTCACAGCGGACTAGAAGAGCTAGCGGGGTATGCAAATCCTGATCTAATCCGCAACATGTGTCCAACAGCAAGACCAACCAAAAGATGAGCTCTCCCTCTCCCAGTTCGGTGGAATGGTTCGTGCTTAGCTCAGATAGAAGCTGATGTGATGAACGAGGAGGACAGCTGAGTGATTGAGGTACGGACGCACGAGGTTCCTAACAGGCTCTGCAGATCTGGCGTGTCTGTCAATTATATAGAATCAAATCCATATAATTCTATAGAAACCAAGTTCAAGACGAATGCTGTAACTGTTCAGATTCCAAGCATGCAGAATCATAGGTGAACTTATCGAACCTAGAAACATAAGCTAAAACTTATTCGATAGAGTTAGGGCAACTCTAATAGAAAACTCAACGCTAAGTACCTCAAATGCACATCAAAGGATGCTGATAACGCTTCTCAGAAGTTCTTCCTTAATATATACGTCAGATTCTAGTTATTGCACCTAACTTGAGATCACACTGGGCTTCATCTCAGCATTCGGGCACCTCTTACTTTTCATATATAATCCACGGACCAGCTTCATTACAGTTCAGAAGCCATATTCTAGTCTGCTATTGTCCAGAACTGTGGCACAACAATGCAGTCTTACTTGAATCGTGTATTTCAGCTCAAACCTGTATTTTCAACTTCTGGTTCAAACTTTCATCCACTGGTTTTAGATTAATCTGAGCTGTTTGCTTGATCATAATGCAAGTTTTAGATCTGACTTCATCCTGCTGTAAGTATCAGAACTAGATTGTAAAGATGCAGCAGTAAGGTAGCATCAATTGTCTTGGTAGTCATAGCTTTAATGACCACAATTTTCTGTTTCAGAAGAAATTTAACTATCAATTATTCTTTAGTAGTCTTACTGGTTTCTGTCCGATTGGTTGACAACGATTTTATTCTGTTCCGCCGGTTTCACCCACCAGTATCTGAAAGTAGAAAAGTTCTGTTTGGACGTTTGAGCATGTAAATTACAAATCTGCAAATTACGTCTGTCTTGTCAAGTCGGTCTGCGTCAGTTCCTCGAATTTGATTTTCCAAGTAAACAAAGTAGTACAAACCCGTGAGAGCACAAATTTCGTTGTCGCTACTCTAGATAAAAGCTCGAGGGATCAGAGGCAGACGACATACATGCAACGTAGGATCGCAAGCCTGCAAGAAGGCTTCAATGGCATGACTTTCCAATTCGTAAAAGGTGTTGATGATCACGCCGTTTACATTCGACAAATCCAGTCCCGCTTTCGCTGTCACTGAGACAGGGTTTATTTTGGTGGAATTTGGCAACTCTATGTCCAAAAGAGTTGCAACACCAGGGACGGTGATAGTCTGTTTGCTTTCGATGAATTTGCCATTCTCTCCCACTCTCAACCTTCCTTCCGAAATGAGAGCCGGAAACGCTTGAAGAAGACGAGCGAAATTTGGACCACTAGGGAAATACGCGTAACATGGTAGACTCTGTTCCTGTGAAAGTTTCTGTAGAATGAACATTCCTCTCGTGTCAGATATTCTATTATTTTCCCAATTTTGATGTGTAGTGTATTGAGATGGTATGATCACTAGCCCAATTCTCCTTCACTGTGTTAAACCTGACTATTGTATCTAAATTCTCTCATACGCAAGTGTGGATTCTCATTTTCTTCCCAATTTTGATATGTTTTCTATTGAGATGGTATGATCACTAGCCCAATTCTCCCTCTCTGTTAAACCTGACCATCGAAACGAAATTCTCTCATACACAAGTGCGGATTCTCTCTTTCTTCCAAATTTTGATGAGTATTTTGTCGAGATGCCATCGAATAGAATCTGAGCACTAGCAAAAGAAGGTCTGTCACAAACACAGAAACTTCTACAATAGAGAAGCCTTTCCCAAAACTGTTTCGGCCTAGAAATCAGAGAAATCCGTGCAGACGACAAATCTGAGCAATCTCTACGTCTGGCGAAATACGGTGAGAAGGAAAACACGCCTGGGGAAGAGTGTAGATCGTCATATGTACCTGAGCCCAAAGACAGAACATGTATGCTATGACGCATGTGGGTAGGCTGGCAGCTCCTGAGGATCGGGCAGAGGCCATATTTTGGAAGTAAGGTTCTGCCTGTCAATATCTGAAATTTGAATGAAACATCGCCAGCGCTATGTCCGTGCGATTCATGGAGTTATCATGATTCACCGAAACACCGGAGCAAGCCCAGCATCGGTATTTTATCTAATAAATACAGCCCTTCCGTGAAGTCAGGCCTTGGTGCACATATTAGCTCTAGAATTAAGGTTCTATAGTAAGGTTCTGCAGCTCACATCACGGCGTACGAGTACTTAAATGGTCTGCTCCAGTCTTCATGCAACTCACGTTCCGACTCATCGTGGTCCATAATGGCCAACCGGAGACTTTGCAGCGCTTCGGGCGAATGAAGCGAGTGTATGTGTGGCAGCATGTATCGGTCCGTGAAGATTGTGACAGTGATGTCTTGCTTGGCGAGCTTGGCTGACAGCAACACGGCCGAGGTGACATGCGAAGCCGAGTTTATACTCAAAGGGATAGCTAGTACGTGCGCACACAAAGAGCTCTCCTGGATCTGGATCTGTTCTTCATTTGCGGGCGAATTGCCCGCATCCACAATTCCTCCCTCCATTACTTTCAATTGCTATCCATTCACGTACCTCTTTACAAAATTTCACCTTGTGGGGTTGGATTCAAAAGATGAATTTCGGTTCCGATCTGAAACAGAGGCGATGTCTCCTGCACCGGATTTCGACAATCGCATTCTCAACCAGCTCATACTTCTATAATGTACCGAGCCGAGCTGAGAACTGCAGGAAAAAAAATTTGCTCGAACGCAGAGCTCATCATCAGGATCTATTTCGTGAAACTGGTGTTTTGAGTCGACTGTATCCAAGTATTCGAAATTGTTCCACGAATCTGTCTCTCTGTTGATTTCGTTGGATTGTTTGTCTTCGTAAGTTTGCTGAGGAGTCGGAATTTTAGAAGAAGCAAGTTCACTCTCACAGGTTTGCTGACATGCTCGACTCGTTGGAGCTTCTGTAGCCGTCCAGGAGGTGCAGACGGAGATAAAAGCGAGCACGAGATCTTGCTGATGAAACTGCAGCCCAGACCCACCCGGACAGTCTACCTCAGGGTTGACGGCGTACGGTCATCGTTGTGACGGAATTCGTGTGTCACCGTCGCGTCGATCGAGCGCGCACCTTCTCTCGTTCGGCCCGTTGTGATACACGTGTCGGGACCGGTTGTCATCGCCTTGTGTTGTGTTGCAACCTAGCCAGGCGGTAGACGGAGGGAGTGTAAGAGTAAGCGAGTGATTTACAATTTGTTAAACAATCATAACAAATTATCTATTTTTTAAAAAACTGTGATAGAATGTGCGATTTAGTTGCAACATGGTTGTTGTTGTAAATTCTATGGGCAAGGGAGATTATTAAAAGCATTGATCTCTAGGCTGCAGAAGTAGAGGTCCATAATTTTTTACATATGCCCACGCTGAGATCGGGTACGGGAAATTATTCCTTAGTACACATTTTGCTCACTCAAGCTCGGCAATTCCTTGGAATGGGCTTGCCTAGCAAGATGGTGCAGATTTGCAGAAACGGCAGCAGACCTGTTTCTGGTGGCAATATTGATGATATGGTGAGGTTTGAACAGGTGAATACTCCGTCATCTTAGCACCATGAGTTCAGCATGCTTTATCTGTATTCAGGTTCATTCATTTTAGCTTTGCCAATTTAACAGAATCATCTGGTACGCCATGTACTCTCAAAAAGTCAAAACACAAAAATGTGATGAAGATTCGAGACAGGTTTTGAGTTTCCACTATAGCACTTGGAGTAAATCTCTTCTTAACCACTGTCCACTTTAGTAAGTTGCAGGCAATCACCCATCATCACTTTTTGCAGCAATTCATCGACATTGATTTTATCGTAGACATGGGCACGGATCTGAGAAAGTGGATAATGGGAAACATACACCTTTCATGACAGGGTCGGGATTATTGCACTTTCCTGAAACCCTTCCCGGTAGACTCGAAAGCCACTGCAGGTTAAAGGAGGTATTGTTCAGGCGAGGCTCGGAATTGCAACTGCAGCCGAATTGGAGCACGGAAGAAATGTCGGTTTAGAGTAGAGTTAGGTTGACTCCCGATTGTCGTCGAAAAATGTAGCTTATTTTTCATTATCGTAAATTATGATAGGATGCCAAGCTCTCTTCCCAATGTCCATTTCGCTTTTCCTTTTTAGTTTTTGTGTAACGATTCTACATCTATCGTCAAGGGTTTTTTATCCTTTAAGCTGGAAGGCTAGAACACTCACTAAAACTGTGGTACCTACTGATTGTAGCTTGTAAGTGTGAAGGGAGTTATATAATTCTATAGAAGGCAAGTTCAAGACTAATGCTGCAAGAGTCCATATTCGAAGCAAACAAAATTACAGATGAACTAGACGAAGCTAGGAAGCTAAGTCATTGATTTAATTCATCGCTTTCCGCATGAATAAGCATAACCTGATTCGGTAGAGTTAGAGACATTCTAAGAAAAAACGTTCCTCAAATGCACATCAAAGAACTCTTCTCAGAAGTTATTCCTAAATATACACCTAGTTATTGCACCTAACTTGAGATCAAACTAGTCGTCATCTGGACTAATAAGTCAGCATTCGGGCACATGTTACTTCTCATATAAACTCCATGGACCAGCTTCATTACAGTTCAAAATTCATATTCTAATCTGCTATTTGATTGTCCAGAATTGTAGCATAACTATGCGATCTTACTCGAACCGTGTATTTCAGCTCAAATTTTCATTCACTGGTTTGAGATTAATCTTGAGCTGTTTTCTTTACAATGATGCAAGCTTTAAATCTGACTTCCTCCGCCTGTAAGTAAGAGAACTGGATTGTAAAGACAAAGCAATGAGATAGCAACAATTATCTTGAATAAATTTTCTGTTCAGAGAAAATTTCACTATCACTTGGTTTTGAGTACAGTCTTACTGGTTTCCTGTCCGATTGGTTGACAACATTTCTGATCTATTCCGTGGGTTTCACCCACCAGTATTTGAAACTAAAAAACTTCTGTTCACACGCTTGAGTCTGTAAATTACAAATCTGAAAATGACATCTGTCTTGCCAAGTCGGTATCCAAGTCCCCTCGATAAGTACTTATTGATAATGTGAATGGGATTAAAATGAGAGAAATGTTACTGATAAGGAATGATCGTAAATTCAGATGTCAATCTATGAAGTAATTTTTTATGACATTGTTCATGAATAGATTTGATGCTGATTATCCTTCTCGTCATTGGATACTCACAAATATACATGTGCGACAGCAACTGAAATATTGGAATGTTTGTGATTTTCTCAATAACAAGATTGTATCTCGATCGCGCAGTTATCTGATCGTTTCAGGGATTCAGATGTGGAAGTGTATACCTCCAGCGTGTTCCGTGAACCCTCTGTAATAGCCTAATAATCCACAAAGTCAAGTCACCAAAACAGTGGATTTGTTCCTCCTTATCATGTTAGGTGCTTATGTCTGAGATGTCGTCTAGATTTACCATTGCCTGAAAACGGAAGGCAAAATGGACATTGGGCAGACAGCTTAGCATCAGATCATATTTCATATGATCAAGCCATCTACTATGAGAATTTATGCACTTTTTTGAAGAAATCCGAGAGTAAGAGGATTCTGTTGCACATTTCTTCCCTGCTCCAATCGGCTCCCGGTGCAATTGCCAGCACAAAAGTTCACAACATAAGCTTCATGTTAACAATACTAATTTTATCTGAGCCACATAAGACAGGGTATGAAAAGATCTAGTATTTGTCGGGTTGGTCCACTTTTTGAACGATTTCAAAGTATATACTTATCATTTTGCAGAGTTCCAGCATCTTTGGCAAGTTTCGCCAAGGCAGGTGGAACAAGTGAATGAATAATATTTTGTGCTGCTCCGTCCTCTATATCTTGATAGAGAAGCTAAAGGACTTTCAATGCGACTTTTGGGATCGCTAAATGGACCCGAACCTGTCGTTAGACGTGTATGTTTTCCAATATCCACATTCTCAGCTCCGGGCCCTTGTCTACAAACAGATCAAGCAGTAAGTGGTGAACAATAAGTGGTGATGATTCACTTCCTACAATGTTCTGGAGTGGGCAGTTTCTTCTGAGTATAGGCGAGAGGCTTGGGACTTAAAGCCTCGAAGTGCTATAGTGGAAGCTACAAACCTTGTTCGAACCTTAACCACATTTTTGTGTTTTGACTGTATGGGAGTCCATGGTGGACCGAATGCTTTTGTTCAATTTGCAAAGACGAAATGAATGAACGTGAAGACACATAAAACATGCTGAGTTCGTGGTGCTTAAATGACAGACTATTCACCAGCTCAAATCTCATCACATCATCAATCTTGTCACCAGACATAAGGTCTGCTGCCGTTTCTGCAAATCTGCACCACCATGCCAGACACGCCGATTCGAAGGAATTTCCGAGGATAAGGGAGCAGAGTGTCTCAAAATGTGTACTATGGAAAACTTTTACGTACCTGATTTTAGCTTTAGCACATGTAATAACTTATAGACTTTTACCACTGCAAATAACTTATAGATTTTTACCACTGCAGCCCGGACATCAATCTCTTCGGAATGAACTCTCTTGCTCTTAGAATTCACAGCAGACAATCAAGCTGCAATAAAATTAATCCTGACTGCAGTTGAAGGAAGAGCAATTAAATTGGTTTCGACCACCCAGTTCTGAGTAAATTCAGAATAGATTACAGACTGAGCATGCCAAAGCTAGATAGCTGCAGTCACGTATCTAAAAAGTGACTCGAAGAATTACTTGTACTCCGCAACGCTACCGTGTCTCTTCAATCACAGTCCAGTCTTTAGACCCACGAGGTTTCCACGGCTTATTCGTCAAGAGCCTGCCGCTCGAAGAGTGCACAAGGAGTGTGACGAAGGCCAGGTGAGGAAAGCCGACGCCAGAACATCTTGAACACTGCATGTCGTGGGACCGTGCAGTGTTCAAAATTGTACTTTTTTTCCTTTTGCACGGAAGAGACATACGAAACCAAAAACTCGGACGACACATTAACAAATTTATCGATGGCCCTTCATTTCTGGACTAGCAGATGCGAGCATTATTATCATCACGTCTCGATTCAATAGTAGATGACCTGAATCAAGACTGCTGATCCATCGTCAGCGATTCCCGGTGAGTGTATGTACAAAACTCCTCTTCGTCCAGATGGTAAGAATTTCGCTCGTCTAAGCGAAACAGGATACGCTTCAGCACACTACAGTAGAAACTATCTCAGTTTCGAGACTCTTAATTTCTTAAGTTTCCACTTTGTCTAGCAAATGATGCATGACGTCTTCAATGTTTGACACTTTACGCTCCACTTCTCCCCTAGAATTCGGAGCGAGTATGAATTTCACTAGTATGCAGCAACATTCATCTTACAATTAAAACTACCGTGATTCGACAACTACATAACAATATCCGGCGCTGGATAGATTTGCATATCAGATCACTTGTGAGAGAAGGGTGATGGAACGTTGTGATTTCATTAGCAGCTTGTTGGCAGCAATAGAGTATCCATCTTTCTGCATTACATCCCTTGTGTACTTCTTACAGTGGCAGAATGGAGATTTGTGGAAAATAGTATCAGTGGCCCTGTTTGTCAAGCTTTTAGAGAAAGTTCGTCGATCTGATAACACGGCATCATCTTAGGAGGTGTGCCTTGCTGTAGGAATGTGAACAAGAAGCCGCAGAAGCTGATGTGCTCAAGTTTCTCATGGGATCTTAGTTCGAAGGAGCTCACATCCAAATTCTTTCTAATACAAATACGAAGATTTTGAATCATTTATCCACATATGTGCTTATTGGCCATGCATGTGCAGACAGTCTGATGATTTGAAAAGCTGGAACAAGTTCAAGATGGACTTACTTCGTGACAATTTCACACTCTCGGTGGTGTTTTTGTTCAATCAGCTAGTTTCACTTCCACAAACTATTCAAGTATTTATGTACAAGATCGAGCGGTCAGTGAGCTTATAAATTAAAATCGTTCTAAGAGAGATTTTTGCTGGCAATGATCGAGCTATCAGGGGATAATTTGGGACATGGATATCTAAGATTTCTTCCATGCTTGTCAACATGTAAGCTCCGATGAACATATTATCCCATACTAGAGCAAGTAGTTTTAGATGATGGAACAGGTGGCACACAAAAAACCAATTACAGCAGTCGCCTTAGACACGTGAGGCATAAACAGCTTTTGAAGCACAAAGCAAAGAGCATGTTGAGCG